CTACGATAAGGTAACTTTTGTAACTGCAATGACGTAAACAAGGCTTGCAGATATTTAAAAATACCTTTTTTCTGGCTTGACCACTTATGTAATCAAAATCTTATAAGAGACAAAAATGGTTTAGAACTAAATGGGCTATTCAGAAATTATAATAATGTAATTGTCGCCTGGCCAGAAAAAAACATATGGAGTAATATCCGGTGAACACATGACATTTCCATCATTCCTGTGTTTCTAAAATTGTATCAAAAACCATAAAAAACGTTAATTGAACCTAGGAACTAACTTCTGAAAAATGGTTTCAATTGATTTACACGTTTTCGAGTTATAAAAAATAAAAGATTTTTTTTACTAACTTTGAAGTCCTCTAACGACGAAACGAAGCAACTTTGGATATAGATAACTTAACTTAAATCGACCTATTTTAAGCCAAGGAATTGGTGGTCTGCCGTTGTACAGGCATTTCGGAGACACCTGTATATTGGACAAACGGGTAGGAAGCTCAAACAAAGACTTAAAGAACACAAAACCGATAATAAATTCAATATTTACAGACACTACATGGAAACAGGACATAAAATCGATTATGATAATGTGAAACTGATTCATAAACAACCAAAAGGGTATAAATTGGATCTTTTAGAAATGTTGGAAATAGAAAAATATAATAACATGCCCGAATATGAAACCTTAAACGATCAAACCTCATATTTTTATAAACCCTTCAAAAATTGTGATTTTCATTGTCTTATTTAGATTCAGCTGATGATGAATTTTTAATTCGAAACCGGTAACACGCAAGTAAGAAGTTTCTCTCTTTTGTTTAAATTTAATTGAGATATCAAGTTGATTTAAAAACCATTTTATAGCAAATTTAATTTAGTTTTAGTACACCAAAAATAATTCTTTCGTTCCAATAAATCCCATTGTTACGATTTTTCTAATCCAACTCTGTACTCATTGAGGTTAAGTTGATAAAAATGAAATTTATTAAGTCGTAACTCAAGAACGAATGAAACAAACACCATTTTAAAGCAAAATAAATTAATATTAAATGAGTTAAAAATTATTTCTTTCGACGTGATTATCTTTTTTAACTTAATCAATAACATTTTAATTTTGCACATCAAAATGAGACATAAACATACACATAAATATAAATCTTTCTATTTAATTACATTAATTGGTAGCAATTTGACGGTGCGTTAAACAAATGGTTACCAAATTTACTGGACCAATGAGTCCTATGCAGCTGTCAGCTCGATTATTATTACGGTTGTTTTATAACGCGAAATTAATAGGAATTATAGTAATTGCAACCGGCGATAAAATGTTATCGACGAAATTATAATAGATGAAAGGCTTCGTAATTAGATTATCAATTCGCGTCCTTCTATAATCAATTAGCTCCGAATAAGTGCTTTGTTTAGGTTTTAAAACGCACTAATTGGTCGTTTGATGTTAACTTGGGATTAAATAAAAACCTACGTTTTCGATATCAATATCGTTGGGGAGTAATTATTTTAAATTTGTAGGGATACTAAATTCGATTCAACAATTAATATGGATTTATGGAATTAGCAAATTTTTATGTAAAGTTTGAAAGGTTTCAGCGACCAATAAGCTGATGCATGTTTTTGCTTTGAAGGTAGCACTTTGAAGCTGCTTTGTGTATGTGCAACCCCAATACAATGAACGAATGGGTTATTCACTGAATGTATTTAGCCAGATGGAAAATAAAACAAAATGGGTTGGGAATAAGATTTAAATGGGGATTCAATTTGTTACGATAATTTGATCGTCATCAAATGAAGTAAAAGGCGTCACTTTTTTTTGAACGTATTGATTGGAAAATCCATTAGCGGTATTGTACAATCTACGTACGGCTATACCCATTACATAAAACGCATTACGAACGCGCTTGTCGAACCATAACGAAACGGAAAAACTAATGGGCGACGTGTGCGTTGCGAAATATTCCTTTTAAAAAAGTTTTTCGTTAATGAAAATTTTCTTTTTTCAATTACATCGGTTTTTACAGTTTAAATTTATGTAAATCCGGCTTAAGTTGATTTTTTAAGTTAACGTCAGTTGATGTTCGGTTGTGTCGGGTAAAAGTTGGTAGTAGTTTGGGCAACCGCGGATTTTAATGGAAAAGTTGCCGAGTTATCTTGCTAATTGCCAAGTTTGCGCGGTTACCTATTCCGTTCATTAGCCCAGAGTAATACAGATAATATCAAGGAAGCCCGTCGAAGTTATCGCATAAAACGTGGCCTAAATAAAACGGAACGCGGCATTCGAAATTAAATCCCGTTCATGATTTATACCGTTGGAAAACTTTCGAAATATATCCCGACGTCGTGGGACCAACACGTTTTTCCCGCATCGTCCTCAAGGGTCTTCTTCTTATCGGTATGCGGTGTAAAAGTTAAAAACATTTCCGAATTTAAATACAAGAGGGAAAACTTAGCATTATGACGTTGCTAAAATTACAGCTTTCGAATCCGAAAACTTTAATAATAACCTACTCATTGATCCCAAACATTTCAACACGCAAACATGGAAGAATTGTGTTAGCGAGAATCGGTCATCCATTAAAGAACACGTTCGTGATCGCACACTTATAGAAATTGCTAACCAATAAATCCAATATACGCAAACAATTACTGATCGATTTTCTAATAATTACCATTCGGTTTACCTACGCGAACGCACGGTTTACTAATCAGCAACATCTGGTGGAAAACGATATTTAAGGCACTCTCGTTATTAGATAACGCGAAAATATGACAGCTACACTGGGGCGATACCAAAACTGGTATTAAATCTAAATTACGATCGTATTGTAATCTAATTGGCTTGTCGCGTTGCCCTTCCTACAGTTGTATCGATAACGGAAACAATACTACTAGTACTATCACCGAATTTATTGCACAAGCACCACAAGTATGTAGGTATTGTGGTGACATATAGTAACTTTATTTTAATTAATTCAGAAACCGTTAATAAAAACAAGAAATTTAATAATAAAAATTAGTATATTACTATAGCATTCCATTTAAAATAACGAAGTTATGGTCTACTTCCGGTTGAAAATATTTTAGATCGAAACTTCCGAATAAACAACCCATGCTACCAAAGTTTCAAATCTCTACGAATAGTAGAACCTGAAAAAGTTCTAACGAACCAGCTACGTGAGACACCCTGTATAAAGATATTAAAAAAAAAGCACGATTAGTAAAGACTTCAATATTATTTTATGATTTTAAAATTATCCAACTTGACTCGGTTACCATGGTGATTAAGATCCAAATATTGCACTTGCTTGTCAAAATTGACGTTGAATTTAAGTTTTCTTAATGAAAAACACATAATTAATTGGATTAAGGTTGAATTTAATTCAAAATGGGTAAATGGATGAAATTATAAGCAAGGTAAGTGGATTAAATCAAGAAAAAATATTTTTAGATCAATTAAAATGTACAAGAATTTAGGGTTAAATAACAATTAAAACTAGAACTAACACTAGACCTAGAAAGTTTTAGGTTTAGCCGGGCGTCTTAGAGGAATGTTTATAGATAGTTTATAGAGAATTAAATTTCTGTCAGGCTAAAAAAATCTGTCAGGAGAAACAGTAATTTAATTTTTGACCACCCTGTATAAGATAGTCCCAAATGTCATAAAGTCAACCTATTTTTCTACGTACAATGAAACGGTGTATAAAAACTATAGCATTCCATTTAAAATAACGAAGTTGTGGTCTACTTCCGGTAGAGCGGAAGTGGCGGCCATCTTCAAAATATTTTAGATCGAAAGTTCCGAATGAACAACCCATGCTACCAAAATTTCAAACCTCTACGAATAGTGGAACCTGAAAAAGTTCTAACGAACCAGTTACGTGACATTTTGAATCTGAAGTTAGCTATCATATAATAGACAAATGGACAACTTCACGGTATTCCTTATTAAAAAACCTTTAAAATGAGTTCAAATATGACGCATTTATCTCGAAAAACAACGAAGTTGTAATAAAAAATATTAAAGTTGGCAACATTGAAATTAGCAACATAATTTTGAAATATTAACACCAAACTTAATTTTTCATTTTCTTATTGTGATTTTTATAGATAAATTTTAAGACATTTTATAAAAATTAAGAATTTGTCAAAATGACATTGACATTTCAAACCGGAAGTTGCTTATATCTCGAGTAATATTGGAATTAAACGTATCATGTTTGGGCTTATTTTAAAAGATTTTTCACGACCATTACAAATATATCAAAATTGACAATGACATTTCTAACCGGAAATTGACCATAACTTCATTAATATTGAAGATAAATATGTCGTTTTTGTATTTATTTTAAAGGATTTTTAATGAAGATTACAAATATGTCAAAATTGAGGTTGACATTTTAAATCTGAAGTTAGTTATATAATAGACAACTTCATGGTGTTATTTTATGATGTATTCTTTATTAAAAAAACCATTAAAATGAGTCCAAACATGATGTTGCTAGATATCACTATGTTGTATATTTTTATTGCACTAAAACTAGAACTAACACTAGACCTAGAACTAGAAAAATTCCGGTTTAGCCGCACGTGTCTAAAGATGGCTATAAAACACCTTAAAACCTTTTTTTTTAAACCATGTAACAATGCAGTTTCCCTTTTTTGAAATTCTCCTATCTGCAAAGTTTTTCTTTTACGAGGACCACGATAGCATTTCTTTATAAAGCTAATCCTACATAGAAGAGAACGCAGAAAGAACTATACAAAAACAAATATGCATTCGGATTGTTGGATACTCATATTCAGATCATCGAATACCGAGATTTGGTGCGGATTACAAAGTACTTCGAATTACCGCTTACACGGATTATCAAGACATTACTGTACTATATTCCATACATAATGGACACCTGTATATTATAATATTATACTTTTCCTCCAATGACGTCACGTTTCCTACAACATCGCGTAAACGTCAATTTGTTCGAGTTGGATAACCTTATAACCAATACCACCAATACTCAATGGACGTTGGAGTAAACGAGTACAAAAATAAATAAGTAAATTTTAACAAAACTCTCAGTGAAATAATTAATAATATTATCTTTTAACTTGCAGTTAATACCAAGTAAATTAATTAACCAGTTTTAATAATTGAATTATACGTAATGAAATTGTAATAACATAACCAAACAAAATAATAACTCGTATTTAAGGTAAGTGAAATTTGAAATAAAAATTATAATAAAAGCAACGAATAAAATAATGAAGCTTACCTTGTAGATTACTGAAATTCTTGGATAAGGAAATTTGGACTCTTCAAAAGGAATCGGTAATAATGATTCTTGATTGGAATAATTCTTCGGAATGGTATACTGGATTAATTGGATCAGGAACCACTTAATTTTCTTGTTTATTATTAAAGGTGAATAATTTTAATTCAAATAATCTTCTTATTTAACTTATTAAATAATAAGTTTACTATTTTTGAGGTTATGTCACAATGGTGATTGACAAGTAACCTAACTTTTGTTGCGGTTTTTTAAATGATCGCCGATAAAATTGGCATGCTCTCGTCGTCACGTTCCAAATCACACTAAAATCAACCAGTTTCGTTTGTTTATTGCTAAAACGTTTTAAATAACGTCTTCTGATTGGTTAAATTCTTCAACTTGAAATTCGTAATTTAAATTTTTCCGGTATAGCCAACTTTGAAATGTCAAATGTCACCAATTAAATTTTATCAAAAATTATTTAATTTCTATTTTAACAATATTTATGTATGAAATGTTGTAGTTTTGTTGCTTTAACTTTGTTTGTGCTGATTTCGGAACATTTTCTTTTAGATTTCGACGTGCAGCTTCAAAAATATATTCAAATATTTAATCTACGAATTTTCATCAAAACTCCCATATGATGGATGGTTTTTGGTCTTGACATGCTAAGATTATCGTTTTTAATAGTTTTAACCGGACAAACATGAATTATAATAAGAAATTAACAAAAAATGAAATTTGAGGTTACGTCACTGTCAAAATTGTATAAAATTACTTCGTATTGACTTTATTTGGATTAAATACAATAAAAAAACGTAAAGGTCAATAATACATGATGAATACTAATATGTTTACAACATTTTATTAATACAAAAACAAATTTTTATAATTATTATTCGTAACCTCACTTACGATTAATATGATTATGCAATATTTCAAAAAAAAATAATGATTGACTTGGTTTTTTAAAAAATAATAAGAGTAAAAAAAGTTTTAGAATTAAATTCTACATGAAATGAGGTATTAATGTATTAAATCCACCAAAAGGTTAAAAAAATATGTCAAAATTGATCTCAACTTGCCACTAATTTGGTTTTTCTAGCTTAAAGTATTAGGAAGATATTTAATATTTTAAAAATTTAAGACCCAACTTTGAAAGTCTATAACTCCTCAGGGGTACAATTTAGTATAACACGTCATATACACTTAGTGATTCACATATAACTCTTATGTGAATCACCCTGTATATAGGTAATGATAAATCCTACAAAGCGTTTTTTTAAATTTCTTCTTTTTGTTCGTAACATTGAATAAGAAGTCAAAACGTAACGCCTAATGAGTTGTTTAAAAAAAGTCTTTTCAGAAACTCGTAATTGTAGCTTTTTAAAAAGCTTTTTAATTATCGCGAATTAAAAAAAAAATAACCTATTGTTGTGTTGGTATCTCGTTAGGGGAGTTAATTGTTCTAACTGATTGTTAGAGATAATTATTCCAAACAATTAAACTTCAATTATTGATGACCGCATTACATTAATGATACATTAGCTGAATTAATCACATTACATCTTACATTTTTATATTTTCGAATGTTGGTATTTGGAGGCAAAGGGTGTAAAGTTACGTTGAGGGTTGAATTCCCATTCCGACTCAGAGCATTTCCGCAATTTTGCGCCACTCGCATGATTAATGCTCGCGCTTGTTTAAAAATAATGTCTCATTAACGTCGCGCGGTGTATTTACTGCGGGGGGCCCTCACTTTACCCGGCTTTTCATAAATCCGGGCGAGAGGCGCTCCGCATGCACATAACGTGTGTAATTCCGTCAAAGGGCCGCGTAGCGTAACAGAGAATGTTTGCCGTCGAAAAATACATCTAACGACGGCGCTGTCGTGTTCAAGTCATGCCCTTTTCGTTCGTTTTTTTATTATTTAAACCCGGCGGGGGCGTCTCTTTCACCTGCAAAGTATAAATTAACGGTGGTAATGTAGCTCGGGTACTAAATCAGTACGGGGGCAATGCGTTAGATGGAGGGAATGTCCGGTGCGGGCGGCAGCGGACAGTTCGGATCTGACCGTTCATCAACCGGACAGGAACCGTACCTGCGGTGTACCGAGTCCCGGTAGAGTCCCGTTTAGTTCAGGTTCTATATCATAACTTATACCATAGAATCCATAGATCGAGACAATAATGTTAAAATCTAATCATGTTCTATTCAATGATTTAGTAAAAACCGGCTCCTCCACCAAAATTTATAACACTTTTAAAACTTCATTACTGCGTTATTTTTAGGAATTAAAAAGTAAATTACGTTTTATTTAAAAATTTGAAGTGTCCTCTTTAAAATGATATATGATAACCTATTCCGAAATTTATAACTAGCTAGAAAAAAATTCTTTTAAATTATGTTGTAAAAAAGAGTTGTAAAACTTTAATACATCATATCTGTCTTATTTATGTGAATACTAAAACGAGTTATATCTTAAATTAAAGCTTAAAATCTCTTCTTTAAAATGATGTAAGATAACCTATATGTTAATAATAGAATTTTAGAAAAAATACACATGTTTTGAGTTCTCTGATAAAACAAGTCATTTAGTGGTTAATACACAAGTTCTTAAACTGGTTTTAATCAGTAGTGATTTTCAATAAATAATATAATGGTGTTAGTGTGTTAAATAAACATTCCTCTTTAGGGGAAATGTCTTCTTAAAAAACTTTATCATCACGATTCGAATCGGAAGAGGATGAGGTCGACCAAAAAAAAAAACTCGCCTACCAAAAATAGGCCGGCAAAGAATCAAGTATTGAGCGAAATAAACGAAGGATTTAAAATTCCACGAAACCCTTTAATTTCACACCTTGATACTTCTATAGCTTCTAAAATACAACATGTAACTCAATTAAATATACTCTATTTTTTAATTCGGAGGAGTGTTTTCAAATTGAAGCGCCAAAAAAAGGGTCGCTATTGATCAATTTTAAGCAAAAATTACACTAGGAAAATTCGAGATATTTCAGAAACATTCGCGTTTAGCCACACGTTTCTCATTATTGCTAAATCCAAATAATTTTAGGTTTTGTGCTAGTTCTAGTGATACGCTAGTGTAAAACTAGAACTAACACTAGACCTAGAACTAGAAAATAGTTTTAAACTAGTTTTAGTTCTATAAAAATACTACCTACCACTGCTACTAGAACTAACACAAGACCGAGAACTAGAAACATTCGGATTTAGCCACACGTCTCTCAAGACGGCTAAACCCGAATGTTTCTAGATCTTGTGTTAGTTCTAGTGATAGTGTTAGTGCAAAACTAGAACTAACACTAGACCTAAAACCATGTATACTGAAAATCTCATACATAACATAACAGAAGTTGAAGTGACGGGGGACCTATGCTCAGATCATCTCAACATATCCCTCTAATTCTAGACCAACCTAAAAATAAAACTAAATACGACCTAAATAAGACAAACACAGAAGGAGTTTGCTACTTTCGAAGATACAGCCCATGGTGAGGCCTGCATTCAAATATTCTCCTCAAAGCCCAAATTCACTAGCACACCATCATTTTTTATGGCAGCTAAAACATTAAAACTCCAATATTCTTGAAATTGTCTTTCACAAAATATGTGTGGATTAGTATCACTCCAATAAGGAGAGTTATGCCGGTTAAACACACCATTCTTGTGAAATTTTTGCCTCATCCGTCCAGCTTATTTTTTCCAAAAAATCTTCATCTTGAGTTTTAATCAACATAAATTCATAAAAATCAATTCTCCTTTTGATCGTTCTTAAACTTTGTGCCACCTCTTTTGTGCTTTTGAACAAACAGGCCATAGGTTTTAATTTTATTTAATAATTTTTGTTTCTTCCGTTTGGTTGCTTCAAACCAAAGCCAACTGATAATTTTAAATTTACGAATAACCAAGAAAATTTCATTTTTCTCAAGATTCTACGAAAACCATACATTTTAGATATAGGGATTTAATGAAAAAGTTCTCTTATTTTTCAGCGTACAATACGTTGGTGAAGGAAAAAATTGAGGTTGCCATTTAAAAAAATGAAGTTTTCGACTTTTTGAGATCGGGAAATTCGGCGCAAATTTCTGACCACCTGTATAATTTTTTAAAAAACTTTTCAAGGTTTATGTAAACGATGGGTCCTCTCTGTGCAAAGCCTGAGAATATTTCGCAGAACTCGAGTGTAATTCCGAAAAATTATTTTTATTGTGATCTGCCAAAATTTTCGAAAAAACTGAAATAATTCAAAAATGGTGCACTCTAGACATATGATGACTTATATCAAATTAAATTAAAATTTAGCGGGAATCTCGAAAATGCAATAAAAATTGGTACATTCCATTTAAAATATCGAAGTTGGAGTACATTTCCGGTATAACCGGAAGTTGGAGAAAACTGAAAATATTTTAGCTCAAACGAGCACTTCGGGTAAACCCTGTATGCAAATTTTCACAAAAATAGTGCCAGCAGTTTGCCATATACATATAGACTTAGCTGGTCGTGACAGACCCTGTACAGGTGGTTCAAATTCGATATCCGAATAGGTTAACTCGGAAACTATAAGAGTTAGAAAAAAAGTAGTCATGATCTCATTTTTCGAGAAACGTATAAATATCAACAATACATATTCTAATCCGTTTTCTCCTTTACAAAGCGTTCCTCAAGGCTCTCCTCTATTACCAGTTCTGTACAATGTTTACTGTTTCGACATTTTTTCTCCAAACCACTCCCTAATCGACCCAAATCGATTATTATATTGTACAATAGGCGAACGACACGACATTGGACACCCACGTAAAAACCCTAATTGAAACAACAAAAGAAATGTAAAAATTCTACAACGAGACACTTGCCTGGTTATTCAAATGGAGACTACAACCCAACCCTTCCAAATTCCAGCTGTACTACCTTACTACAACATCAAAGAGAATTCTCCCTACATCCAAACAGAACATGGTAAATTAAGACCTTCGGAAAACAACAAATATCTAGGTATGATTTTAGACAAGAAACTACGTCTTAAAAGCACTACAAAGAAAAACAACTCGAAGTAATAAGAAGAGCGAAACACTTTCGAAACTTAAAGTACGGGAATAAAGGAATTTCCACTGAAACGGCTGTATACAGTGTGTTAATAGACTGCCTAAGTCTGACGTCACAGAGGTGGGCGGAGCTTATACCGACTCCAAAGATCTTCGTTGCTAACCACAGTTGCTAAGATAAATCGCCATAAAAATGTCATTTAAAATGTCATCTAAAATGTTACTTAGTTTATTTTATTTTAACACTAATTGAAAAATTTCATATGGGGATTTATCGTTAGCAACGAAAATGTTTGGAGTCGGTATAAGCTCCGCCCATCTTTGTGACGTCAAGCTTAGGTTGTCTATTAAATATCGTACCCGACGTCCTCATTGCAAGTATGCAACCAATATCACACTGAATATATCTGAATACGCCAATCGCTTATTGCAATATCAATACTGTGATATTGGTTGCATACTTGCAATGATGATGTCGGGTACGATAATTAATTTACACACTGTATATCTACAAGCACTAGTTAGACCTTATCAACAGGACATTGAACAGACATTTATGGAATTATGTGCTTATCTAGAAACAACGACAAAAATCCCGGACAGAAGACTACACTATTAAAAAAACTTAGTGACACATAATGAAAAATAATGCCTTATATGTATACAGGGTGTCTCAGCGAGACCGGTCATTAGACGTTTCTGGGGTTCTGGCGAAAATAAAAATTTGAGAATTCAGACTTAAGTATTATCAATTACGATCTCTTCGTC